CTTTGAGGTTGGTATTATTTATTGTACATGAAGTTTAATCATAAAAGAAAAAAAAAAGTGACTTTACAAAGTTTCAACTTTTTACTTTGTGTGTATAAAAACACCTAAAACTATTACTGAACCTTACTAATTCAAATTAAAACTTGATGTAAGACAAAGATTGCATTAAAAAACAAAGCAAACAAATGGTTATATTTTACTTGGCATTGCAATAATGTTTACAATAATTTCTAATATACATATATATGTATATATATGTATATAATAATATATATGTATATATATATGTATATATAAATAAATACATATATGTATATATATGCACATATACATATATATATATATATATATATATATACACACATACATATACACACATATATATATACAGTTATATATACAAAGCCCGAAGTGCTGCCAATGTGCATTGGCCACACTTTGGGCTTTGAATGTAACATATATATATATGTTCCAAACAAGTTCATTAATGCAAAACTTGAGCTATTGAAAATTCTTATTGTTTTTTTCATTAGTACCTTATGTTGATTGGAATATGATTAAATGTCTATCATTTCAAAGATATTTCACACGTGTATGTGCTACATTACTGGAATGATTCTCTACGATATACATAAATATACTCATTTCCAAGTAGTCTAAGCTTTAGTTATGTTAACAAAATCATTAAAATGACACATGAAATAAATGTCACTAAAACAAATGATCAAATGGGAATCATAGAAATTAGAATATCAGTGTATTACTGATGCTAAAAGGAAAAAGAAGTTTGATATTTGAATACTTAGTGCTTTATTGTGGTTTATTAAAAAGAACTATAAAATTTCAAAGTTCATGTAAGATGCAATTTATTTTAGTATTTTACCCTGCACCACCAAAAAGAAAAACAACATCTTTGAAGTAAGAGTTAATGTGACATATATCAACAAAATGTATAAAAAGTGAAGCATATCATTTGTGCTGTTGCTGAGGTTTCTTAAAAAGTTGAATGCACTAATGATGGAAACAATTTTTTGTTTTTTTTAATTTTCAAGAGAAGTTGGACATTCATTAAAAATATTTCTACAGCATGGTTAAGCATCAGCTTTTTTGTCTTTTTAAGAATCTATGTTTGTGCATTTTCTAATGTTTTTTTTTCAGGGTAAAGAAACATTTGTTTTCAATTTTCATAACATTACATCATTATTATTTCTAACCTAAGAAAGATAGTGTAGGTAACATTTTAAAAGTGAACAATGTATACATCTTCATCCAATTCACATCCAGGAAAGTGTTATAACACATACCATTACTAATAGTACAAATGTAATTATGCTGATAATGTGTTTACATAAATAAAGATACTTTCTCTAAAGTTCACATTTGAGTGTAAGTATACCATTGACTAGAATGAATTGGAGGGGTAAAAAATGAAAAAAAAAGAGAAAAAATTATGGGAATGAGAAGAAATATGAAATGACATGTAAGTAAGTAATAACAAAGTTGAGCGTACTCATAGTAGTAAAGTACAATGAATAGAGTATGTATAATGTAGCTATTTACACTTATCATCTGGTTACATAGTACTCTAACAATTAGGTCATTAAAAAAAAAACATTGTTTAACAACTGTGCCATTACTAACTGGTATTCAATATATCAAATAGCATAACAATAGTGTTTAACAAAAATAAAAATAACAGTTACCAGTCTGGGTGTTGGTTATGTTATGTTTGCCTTTTTTTATGGAGCAAGTTTAGGCATAGGTGACAGTGAAAGAACAAGTCTAGAGTTTAAGTCGATCCTTAAATTATAATAATGTACAAGAAAGAAACCCCCCCTTAAAAAAAAACAAAACAACCAATGTTAAATAATTTAAAAATAAGTCCTGAACTCAGTTGGGAGAGGTCAAAGGTCACCCAAACTCAGTTGAGAGGTCAAAGGTCATCGACACATTTGTTTACCAGCTGACTCTTGAGGCACTTGAACAGATATTTATAATAAAAGACTTGAACGGCTTATAAACTAATCATAAAACCAAAACGTATGTCAAGTTGTCGTCGACACAACGACCCACCAAATACATATCACCCACAAGTAAATTGGCAAGGTAAATGCAGGCGTGGCAATATATGCCACAGTTTCAATATCATTTTTAAAAAAAAAACGACACAATTTTTTTTTTTACATTTCTATGTCACCGGCATCTAATGAGAAATAGAATCGGATTCCTACAGCTGTTTTTTAAATTTATCACATTGAAAAAGAATAAATTAAAAATCAAAAAAAAAAAAATAACATTGGAATTAATTTCTTTTTCCCCACCATTTCTACATAAAATACTAGCTAAGAACAAACATAGCCGTCATTCATTTTGTAATACTTGATAAACCAATTCCTCCTGACACAACAAGGGCCATAAGTCATGGCTTGTATGTACATAAAGTTTTCTGGAGTGAAGTTTTCACCTGTCGTTATCACAACCCTTTTACAGTTTGTGTCGGGAGAAGAAAGATGAGGAAATCACAGTTACGCATGTAGACTGACAAATGTACATACATTAATTTACTAGCTATACCCGAAGAAGGTTATGAAGTGTAGGTCACAAGAGAGACAATAGTTGTGAGGTCACCAGCTTGACCCTTGTGGTTTGTTTCATTAATTTTTTTTATACTTGGTGAACCATGATGTATGGAACATTTTGATGTTCATCAAAAAAAAAAAAAAAAAATTGTGTTTGAGACAAGTTCAGCACATTATCAGGCTTTTCTCAACATGATGTTCAATTGTTCAGTACATCAAAATGTTCCACACAAAAGGATGTTCAGCACATCATGATGTTCAACACATCATGATGTTCAGGTTAGTACATCTAAATATTTCATAATAAAACTTCTTAATCATTCCTTCTTAACAAGCGTGGCTATAAAGTCACTGTGTCAAAGCATAAAAAATTCAAATTTAAATGCTGAAAAAGCAGAATTATTCATGGGCAACCACTCTGTTCATTTTAATCAAAATCTTTCAGCTACACTTGATTATCTCTGTTAATAAGTGGTTGTTACCTAAAATGAATTTACTACTCTAAGTTTAAGTGATTTGGTGAGTATTTATTTGGAAAACCATTTAACAAAAAAGTTATGTTCAGTGTCAACACCGCTTGCTATACAGTACAAATATATTACACTTTTCCTACAATTTGATTACAGACAAAAACACTCCAATAACTTAATCTTTAATTTTTAAATTAGCAGCCTCTTTATAAATTAGCAGCCTCTTAAAAGAATTGTTTAAAATAAGCCCATAGAAATGAAAAAATCTCTCTCCTCTTACAGGTCAATGTTACTTATCAAAACTACTTAAACAAAGTATCAGTTTCCAATTTGTACAAAAATGTTGGTTGGAGAAAATCGTAAATATTTTGAAAACTTAAAATTGGGCTTTTACTGGTGTTTATTTTTGTAAATAATTATTGGTATTGATGTTGAATTTCTGAAAACTTTGAGAAATCAATTTTTTTTTGTAAATAGACATTAAAAAATCTACTTTGAGTTGATCCAATTTCTTTAAAAAAAAAAACATACACAAGATTAAATATACTTGCATAGAAAAATAAAAACAGTTTAAAGTTAAGGAACCTCTAAGTTATAATTGTTAACATTTATTTAAAAACCTTGTGCAAGAAACCACTTTGTAAATCAACACTCTCTGAATAGATTGATGGCGCAAACTCTTTCCTTAACATTTGAACAAAAGAGCTAGGAGATGTAGCGTACAACTCCTCTATGCTGTTCCTGTATTGCTGTATACAGTAAGATTTACAACATTTTGGCTTCATCAACATCAAAACAGGCTTTGTGAACACATTGTAATAATTCAACTATGGCCATAGTTCAAAGTGCAAATGCTTAAAGGTGCTGAGATTACTAGTTAAGACTACATACATGATGAAATTGAAATATTAAAGTCAGTTTGACATAACTTTAAATCTTCCTAAAGCAAATTATTTTAAATAGAAATGAACATAACTTACATACATATTTAAGTACACATGGCGCAAATAGATTTTTTCCCCCTTTATGTTTAGACCATAAAAGATATTTTATAATTCAAACTAATCATAGTGATTTGAAAAAAAAGAAACAGACTTATTTCTGCTTAAATTTGTAATTTTTTAAAACAAAAGATGGAAGTTTATCAAACAATTAACTAGTGTTATTTTAAGTTATTGTTAATATTTTGTTTTACATAAGTGACATTATTGTAATATAAATCTTGAAATTGAGCAGAGAGTAGTACAGAGCTACAGGGGGATATTTGGCTCATTGAAATACAAAACAACACTTAATCCAAGAGAGACGAGCTAGTAGCTGACACAAAAAGAACATACATTTACAAATGTTGTTTGTCTGGTGACTAAAAATACTGTGAAAAAGGTAATGCTGAGACTAAACTACTACTACTGGCTAGATCTACAGCTAGTTCAATGGTAATGCATATTAAGTGCTAAGCAACCAATTTTTGCAAACCAAACAGATTCACAACTTTTTAAAGTCCACACATTTCTTTTTTGTGTACAGGATTCACTGATTAGCCTTTTATCACAGCTTTGAGGAAAGATAATGAAAAGATAAACAATAAATTAATTACAAACTATCTACAGTTTAGCTATGGAAATATGTATATATTTACAGATGGAGCCTACACATCATAGTTAACTAAAATAATGCAGTAGAAATGGCCAGCATTTCAGAATACCCAGTGCATTTGAAAAGACAGATTAAGTTTTACCAGATTTAAAAATATCTAAATGTTTAGATCCAGTTTAGACAGTTTAAAACAAAAAAAAGTTTGAAAAATAACAATTGCAAAAAGAACATTGTTAAAATAAAAGTCTTTAAATTAAAATTGTCAAATGGAATGGAAGGCAAAAATTAATTTGGCATAAAATAAAAAAAAGCTAAATCAAAATACATTTTGTTTATTTTCAAGGCATAGAGGACTTAAAGAATATTTAAAAGAATTTTGATTTTTGGAATTGCAGACTTTTTTTGATGGTGTAATTGACTTTTTTTATTTTAATGAGAAAACAGATTTAAATTATTAAATGTATAACTGCCTATCAACCTTCAATAGAGGAAATATAAATCTCTATGACATAAGGGGAAAAGAAAAGTTGCTAAATATAATGTGTAGAATCAAATTTTGCAATTCTACAACAAAAACAATTAAGTTTTTCATTCTTTCTTTCAAATGTGAAATTTAGAGTCTTTCTATTATAAGATTAACTTTTCTGCCAAAGTCTGATATTTAAAGAACTAACTGTAAAATAAAATTATCAACATAAAATAATTAACTGTAAAATAGAACAAAATGTTCGTTTAAGTTTAATAGCTGTTATCAGAAATCTTTTTCTTCAATTAACACCCCTGCAAATTTAAAGTGCTATATAAATGATAAATAAGTGAATGATAAATCAGAAGTGAAGCTGAACAAGTTTGTATTGAAATTATCCTCGCTGCTATTGGAGCTCATTTGTCTACATGGAGTAGAAAGGTTTACAGTTCAACAATTATCTTACAAACTACAAATCTATGTTTATCACATTTTTTTAGTACAAAAATTTTATCACGATTTACTTGCTTTAGGTTAATTTGTTTATTATGCTAATTTTTATTGTGATTTCTTGAAAATTGAATGTATTATGGCTCAATGCAAAGGCAAGACAACTTTTTCTAAAAAAAATGTTTCTTTCCTTTTCATAATAGCCAATAAACGTTATAAACAATTGTGTTTTGAAGCCATGCTTGTCAAATTATTAATGGAATTGTCTAAAAAAATGTGATGCGCAGTTTAAAAAGCTGGGCTTGCTGTCATGTAGGGGAATATTGATATGTCTGAATGAAGTTCTCTGGTAAATTGTTCTCTCCTATCGGTTTCATGCTCAAGCTGATGGCTGTAGGATCATGAGTTGTAAAGCATTCAATATCCTGAAATATAGTAATTATCATATAAGAAACAAAAACAACGAAAACTTAATTATAGCAAAGAAAAAGCATTTGTGAACTGGCGTAAAACTTAATTAAAATTGTGCAAACTAGACTGAATAACTTTTATAACTGTTATTTAAGCTAAAGTGCAAAAAAAAGCAAAAAAAAAAGTCCAAAGTAGCCTATATAAAATAACTGAACTAAGCCAGCAAAACACATATAGCACAAATTAGGAACTTTTTAGTTGAAAATACAGTGTGTGTGTGAGTGAAACAATCAACAACAGAGTTGTAGTTTAAGAGAAAATTTTTCTGAAATATTTTGTCTGTTTGATTATAAGTCTTAAGATGATAATTTTGCATTTAACATTAACATTACTTTCTTTTCTCTGTATGAAGTTGCTCTTAAAATATTCAGATACTTCAGGTTAGATTCATTAGTCTTCACTAGTTTGGAAAATTATTCAAACATGTTCTTAATGAGTTTGGAAAATTATTATTCTTAGATTAATTAGACATTATTAGCTTGGAAAAAAATATTTTAACAGGTTTCTAAATTAATTTGAAAAATGATTCTACTTCAGATTAGTGCTGACCAGGTTAGGTTTGATTATTTTTTAAAACAATTTTAACAGTGCTCTGAGTCGATGGAAATCCTTAGAAGAACCCCTGTAAGAAAAAGTGCTGGGCTAACCTCTTCCGATGAGATATCACTTCTGCCACAGTCGCGGCAGGAACCCCAACCGAGGAGGCAAGAGGATTTCATCTTAGGGGAATCTGATGCGAGGGTAAAGTCAAACACACGACTTGTTGGGGAAGAGGAGCAGTGGAGTTTGGGAGATGACTGAAGCTCAATCAATTCTGGAGGGAAAATTAGATCATATCAAGTTTAATTTATAAGACACGTTTACTAACCCAGGGACCAGTCAGGTGCTGTTATGAGATTGAAAAGAAAAATAGATAAAAAATTGTAATAAAAAAATGAAATGATGATAAACATTGTTAAATAAAGGTGAAGATAATAAATTCGATTTTAGTTTTGATTTTAAAAAGTACAATTTGTTGATACATTCTGAAAAAAAAACACATCAAATAAATAATAACAATTTTTTTTTAAATGTGTGAAGGACACTGTAATAGATGAAATATTGCTGAAACACGACTAAGCATATTTTACCCAAAGCATTACAGCTGTGATTATTTGAATAATAGATTTTAATTACATTTAGCTAACATAAATTGTACACAACGCAGATACGTGGCCTAATTAAACTGTAGTCAAAACTATAGGATGTTTGAAGGATGAAGAGTTTCATAATAGTCATTGTGATAAACATGTACATCATGTATTTGACTACAAGTAACAACACCACAAAAATTACTTTTAACGAAAGTATACTGAGCAAGTTGAGTTACCCTTTAAAAGTTAACAGAACATACCTATGACATTGTTCTCTACTGGGACTGAGGAGAGTGCTGTGGCCAGTTTGAAATTATCTACATCTTGGCTCGTGACTACGGTGTGGTCCTCAGTCCCCGTAGAGAGTTCAGTCAACTTGTTTGGCTGCTGACCCAAAGCGGAAATGCCATTTCTGGACACAGGCGTTGGGTCAACATGAGCTAAATCATTGTTATTATTATTGCCGGGGGAAGGTTGCTGCTGTTGCTGGTGTTGGTTCTGATGTTGGTTCTGGTGTTGGTTTTGGTGTTGGTTCTGGTGCAACAGCGGGTGGTGGCTAATAGGCTGTTGCTGTTGGGGTGCGGTCGCTGCATGGCTGTGGTACCTCCTCCTCTTCAGAAATTGAGCAAAGCTTTTTCTCCACGCCATATTTTTGGTGAATATTTTTTTCTTTCCCCCTTCCTCTGAGCCTGGTGTTATTTTCTGACACTTGTTGATTGAGTTCTGAAGAAAAGAAAATTTCACGCAATTAAAATCTTTTTTTAAAGATAAAATTTAAACTTTGACTTTGTTTAGTTCAAAGCTTCTTTAAAATAAACACCAATGCTAAGAAAAAATATATATTGTTCTGAAGTTAATTAAAATTTGAAAATGTGAAATAATCACAAACTAAGTTACAAATTTTATTATAGTAGTGAGAAATTTCTAAAAACAAACAAATCAGACAACTTTTGATGACAAGAACAGAAAATAACTCACTGATGGACCTATTTGTCAAATCAATATGATTGAATACAATGTTAGGGTTCCACTTTTTTAAAGACTCATTTTAAAAAAGTCCAATTTAACTGTTGTAAAAACCATGATTAAAATGGAACCTTGATTTTTTTAAGCTACACAAAATTAAATCTTTTTAAAATGTGTTAATATAAAATAATTACTCATAATATGAATCATATACAAGGAAATTTCAACTTTCCAAAAGTGTGAAGCTAGTTTAATTGATTCTACTTATATCAGTTTTATAAAATGTCTACATAAATTGTCTATAATAATAATCCAGTAAGAGAGTCACTAGGAATGAGCAAGAATATTTTTTAGAATTAATTAAACTAAAGAGAACAAATATGAAAATAAATCTCTACATGCCAATATCATGCATTTTTTGTTTGTTTTTTTAGTTCAGGAAACAGTGCATAGATTTTTTTAGATTAAATATTGACCGTAAGAAAAATGTGGTTTCCAGAAAACAATAATTTAGACCAAATCCTAAACACATTTTCTAATTGCCTAATAAATAAAATATTTTAAACATGTCATAATTAAAATTTTTGTGTAAAAATGTAATTAAAAACAAAAATTAAAGACCGAATATAATTATCTCTTGTAATAATATAGCTTGTAGGACTCTATCACTACTAAGCCAATTAGAAAAATTTTCTTGCATGCTTATGGAGAACAAAAATTATATTCTGTGTAGAAAGGAATATCATGCGCTTTTCACATTTTATGTGATGTTTCAAGCATTGAGTTTTAAAGATTATAACACAAAAAAGGTCTTAACTGAGATGTTTAAAAAAAAATTATGAAAATGATAAAAAATTATATATATATATATATATATATATATATATATATATATATATATATATATATGTAATGTATCCATGCTAATTTATACATTATAAGTACATTAATGAGGTGGAATAGTATAATCCTTTTTTAAATAGGATAAATATAGAATGCAGGGAAAGAATAGGATTGTAGGTGCATAGCCTGACCATAAATTAACAGTCAAATCAAATTTACCTGCCTACAGTACTTGCGGCTGATCAAAGGGCAAAAATATGTTAAGGTAGGGTTTATGATTCTGAATTATAAAGCATACTAGGTTAAAGCAGTTTAAGGAAAGAAGAAATAATTGTTATTTGTTGTATTAATCTTTTAACCTAATAAAAATGAAGAAAATTTGTGTTTAAATTTTGGCTGATTTAAAAGTTTGAAAAAGTACCAAAGATTTAAAAAAAAAAAATCACAAAAAATTATATAGTTGATTCTCTGAGAACTCATGGATTGAAAAACATGATGTTGCAGGTCAGTTATCTCTATTGGCATAAGTGTTTAAAAAAAGCTGGTTATCTCCCTTTCATTGTGTGTGACAGAGAGGTAGAAAAAAAAAGATTTAATAAAAGTAAGAAAAACTAATAGTAGCCCAAAATTCCAAAGCATTTACCTATTTTTTTTTTGTTCTGTTTAAAGATTAAATCAATTTTTGTAGACACTAAAAAAAACCAAGCCTCTTTATCTAAGCTATGATCTAGCCCTTTTGAAAATGTGGTAGGCTTATGTTTATTTTTGGTAAATTAGTGGAATCTAATGGATTACATAGATCTAGAACAATTTACTTATTGAGAATTTGATCATTACTTTTTAATTTCAAATGATAAAATCCAAAAATCATGACTGAACTTAAACTCACACGTAAAAATTTTAAACTTGTCTAATTTAAAAAAAATTGTATTTAATTCAAAATGGACTTACAGCCTTTACACAACATTCATGCATAAAGCTAAAAGTTACTATAGCTATTGACACAAAACTTAAAAAAAAGAGATACAGCACTATTAGAAGCAATAAGATTAGCATGAAGTTCAGAACAACCCCTAAATAGTTCAATGTTTACTGCCTTTGCAAATCCATCATGCAAAACTGTAAATGACTGTTGTGATTTGATAAAAAGGGGTAAATTTGGTGGTTCTACTAGATTTTAGTTTTAATAAGTTCGACAATTCAGTATTACATGTAGCAGGTGAAATCCCATAAAACTGCTAGATCAGAATGAGAAGGTATTTAGTATTATTTACCTTGATAATAAATTGCTCATTATATTAAATTAGTATTATTATATCAAATAGCACAAAGGATTACAAAAGAAATGAAACATTATATGTTTATAGTTACAGCTTGTTGAAATAAAAATGTTATACTGCCAATTAAATTTTGATCTTTTTTTATTTATTTGCTTTTTCAAAATGAAATTATTTTACAAATTATATGGCATTTACATTTTTAAATTTAAGTCTACACTATTTATTAATATAATTGAATTTAATGAAAAAAACAAAACAAAGTACTTAGTTGTTATTGAACAGAAAACTGCAGTAAACTTTTAATTTTTTAATAAAACTGTCATTTATGATAATTCACAATTTTAAACATTTTTTTAAACTGCTACAAAAAGAAACATTTTTACAGGTTTATATATGGGGACAAGCCTTTTACATTTTGTGACCGTTACTTGTTGGGGTAAATAATAGCCCAGGCCCTCACACGTCTAACTACTGCAGAAGCTCTGAAGGTGGCAGACTAGGTGCAAATAAAATGATGTGGTCTGTGCAGCTCTTACCTTGATCTGATTAGGTTGTCTGGTGATTGCATTGGTGTAAGGTAAACATTTTGTATCAGATTTACTCAACAGGTCTGTGTCCCTGTCATCTGCAAAGCAGCAAAATGATAATTACGATGCATACCAACAGTACACATTTTCTGTAACAGTGGCATAGATATATAGGCACCAGGGGGAAGGATAATTTTCAAAATTTATAGGGCAGACACTGAGTTTAATATTTTTATCTCTGGTTCATTTTGATCTTCAATTTTAGCTATTATATATATATATATATATATATATATATATATATATATATATATATATATATATATATATATATATATATATATATATATATATATATATATATATATATATATATATGCCTATGGTTATATATATAAACATAAATGTAAATTATATAAAGAAAATTTCCAGCCCTAGTAGTACATTTTAGCTATGCCACTGCATACACACTTCACTAATATAGTTAACTGGGGGTTGGGAAAAAGCACAGTTGCTAAGCATAGGAATAGAGAGACTAACAATGCAGATCGTATTATATGTCAAAAAGTTCAGTACACATCGTTGAATATATTTGAGAAAATAGATGAATGAAAACAGGCAAATAAAATTATTCAACATAAAGTAGATAAATAGAAGCTAGGCATACATATGTTTATTTTTCACTTGTACAACAAACTTTAGGGTTCTGTTTTAGTAAACATGCATTTATAAAGAGATAACTCTCGCTAACAAAGGAGATAGAGTAATTACATTACACCTGATGACTAATAAGTAGGTAAAATGTAGAAATGACATGCACATATTGGTATAAGAAAAAAAAAATATTTTGAAGTTTTACACAGGAAAACAAGAACGTACAGAACTATAGAATTTGTTTATAGTTGGAAAGCTTAAGAATCAGCATATTGAATTGAAGTATATAGAGAACATTTGAAAGCTAATTGAATGAAGCAAGTTTGCTAAAATTTAAAATTTACTTTTTTTTCAATGAAATAAGGGGTCTAACAACCCTCGTCCTGGCAGAAAGTAAAAAAAAAAAAGGAAATTAGAATTTAACCATTTATTGGAAAAAATTTAAAAAAAAATTAAAAAAAAAAAAGGTGACTATAAAAAAGGTTAAAGTTTTAATGACTTCACTCAAAACTGGGTAAAAAAAAAAAGAAGCAATGTTAGAAAGAAAACAACATAAATTTAATTCAAATTTGTCAAATGTCATTTTATGTGCATGTCAATGAAAAGTTCTACAATAGTATTTAGAGAAACTCTGTATGAGCCATGCATAATAAAATATACAGACGATTCAGGAACTTTCATCTATCTCTAGGAGCTAGTTCAGCAGCCAGTGGAGGACCAGTGCCAACAATACCTACCTGCACCCATAGGGTGAACCTTAGCCTTGCCTGCCACTCCTACTCTGTCTATACAATCATCGTGATGTTCTGTCTCACTGCCTGAGCTTAGCAAGGGGTCTGTGACATCATGTCTAGAATGGAACAATCACATGGCATTAAATGTATTGGTTGTATCTATTATGGTTTAGAATTTAATATGTTTTTATGACAAATAAGTCATTTAGTTTAATATATATTAATAAAATAATATATTTAAATTAAACATTTTTAAAGAAAATATATCTTTAAAAAAAAGTTTTCTTAAAATTAACAACATTTATTTTTAAAAATTGTACAATTGTTAAGTCTCAATTATGTTAAAATTAAATAATAAATAAATAAAAATTATAAAATATAAAAGTTTTAAAAAGGCTCATATTCCTTACTTTTTCTAATTTAATACTGAAAAATTTATTATATATTTCCATGGAGCACTGGAGATTTTGTTAGCATTTGAACTTAAGATAGAATTTTAACATCTAACCAATTTACCTATTCAATGAACATGCTAAACATTAGGGCAAAGCATTAACAGAAATATTAATCTGAATTAAATTAAAAACAGGTTAAAGTTCTAATTACCTCCCTTCCTGCCTAAGCTTTCTGTCTGACGTTCGATTAACTTTTGACGAGGAGTAATCATTGTTCTGCAGTGAGCCACACCCACTATCACTGCTGCTGTTTTTATTCTTTAACTTGGTTTGCTTCTTTTTCATCAAATGCAATTTGTACGCAAAACATGGCACAGTGGGGGTGGTGACAGACATGGAAGAGGCGGAACCTTTTTCATCGTTGTCGCTGTCTCTCAGATTATCAAAGTCATCGCTGTGGAAACTTTCTATCCGGGCCAGCGGTGTTTTCAAATTCATCCACATAGGCGTGGTGGGAGATTTCGCTTTTCCGCTGCCCTGCCACCGGCCTGACCCTGACTTTGAACTTTTGCTGGCCGCGCCACTACTGCCTTTTCTGGATGACAAATGGATGTCGTCATCCGGGGTGGCTGCCGAGTTTTGCCGACTTATCTTCTGGGTGGCGCCTATTCCCACTGGGGTACTGACAGTGGGTTTGGCGTTGGTGAGAATTTCATGCCTGAATGAGTCGGAAATAAGCTCCGTCATGCTGTCGACATGATCGTCGCACTCATCGTAGCCTTCTGAAGCCAACATTAATCCATCGAAATGATCATGAAGATCTGAAATACCTTGGTCATGGAGATCTGAAATGCCATCTTTAGAAGCACTAACACAATTGGCAGGGGGACACTCTGCTCCAAGAAGAATACGATTCTCACTAGAATTGCACAACACAAGTGATTTATCCGTTTGCATAGCTAAAGCCCTTTCATCGTGACCGTTGTATATTACCGTGTGGTTGGAGTTGGGGGATGGCAGCTTTAGCAGTGACTCATACGAAGGTGGGGAGTCAAACAGTGAATGCTTTTGGCGTGACTTGTTTCGCTGATGCTTGGACTTCACCTCCAGCACATTCTCCAAAGAAGAATCATCTATTAGCTTATCATTCGTACCAAGAAAAAATAATTCCGAGCTTTGGGATTTATTTTGATCACTATTCGTTAGTGGCAAATCCAGGGAATCCAGTTTCATGGATGAATGACCAGGGGGGCGAAGCAAATCTGTAGAAGAGCTAGGGTTAGAGCTGTCTACGTAGTGAACTTCCACGTTAGTCAGAGGTCCGTTGGACCCTGGTATGAATGGTCTGACAGGAAGTATGTGTGGTGTGCATTTGTGGTTATCCTCTTTTATAGAAAGGTAACATTCTTTGAGAGTCAAGTTCCCTGGTCTGGTAACAGTTTTAGAGCCAGAAGACAAGGATAAACTTTCTTCCGATGGAATGAAGATCTCCTCCTGGGGCGGCACACAGATGTGCGGGTTGCTTCCGGTCTCATGGTTGGGAACGGTCAAAAAGTTTTTATTTTGATGGTCTATATCCGGAACCTCAAGAAATTGTTTCTTGGGCTCCACTGCAGGGACAGCGAGCATGTTCTTTTTGGGAGTGTCAGGAATAGCTGAATGTTTAGCTAAATCAAAGTCCACGCTGAGTTTTCTCCCTGCAGATGGGTGGGAGTTCTTCATCTTTAGGGATGATGCTTTTGTTGTGCCGCGGAGGATGCTAGCATCACCCGTAATAATCGGGGCACTGCTTCCTTCTTTAGAATGCGCCAGATTGGCTAGCTGAGGCATGTCGTCCGACCCGGGGCGGTGATCAATAGAACCTGAGCGTTGGTAGGTACCTTTAGGTCTGTGAGAAGGTCCGCATGATCGAGCTCTTCGTCTGGAAAATTTAAACGAAGAGCTCCGACGAATGGCAAGTTGAGAGTTGGAAGGCTCAGTACCCGGCACAGAGAGGCTTGTGCTGACAGGGGCGTGGTCGTTGTGAAGGTTTTGACTTCCTTGGTTGGCTGAGTTGGGAGAAAGGAGTCCAGCAGCGGCAGCTCTTTCCTCCCTTAACATTTCACGTTCCATTTCTATGGCTTGACGCTCCATGTAATCCTGTTCAGATGTAAAGGAAAAAAAAAGTTAGGATATAAATATTTTTTTGTATGTGAAGCTTCAGGAGGATGATGCAGCTGAAATATATTCTTTACAAAAATGTTTCCAAAACCCTGTGGTAGTTTTATATTACCAGACAACGACTTGACTTTTTCTTTGTATTACACTCAATAGCAAGAACATTATGCCATCAAGACAGCATGTAACTTTTGCTTAAAATGTATTTCTGAATAGATGACATTGTTATTTCAATAATAAGACTGAGTCGTAAAACAGATTTAAAAAATAGTGTTTTCTTCATCTAGAAAAATATGTAAAAAAAAATATAGTGTAGATGGAAATGAAGTTGTTTATTGTAATTTTCAAAAAATAATTCCTTGGATTTTTTTTTTGGCTCTGAGCAAGCTTTAAAAAAAAAAACTTCTTTTATAGGTGGAAAAATATGTATAATAATTTTTAAGGAAATAGTTATTTGTATAAAAAAGTCTACTAAGACCTAATACATATAAAAATGCTATTTTGGTAAATGCTTTATTTTTCTCAGACTAGACTTAATTGAAGGTGAAGTAATGAATTTTTTTTTTGATCACCCTAAGCAAATTGCTGTGACATCTTATTAAAAATTTTCTTGTTTTGTTGTTATAAAAAATATTTGAAATTTTTTAAAATTTGAAATTTAAATCCGTTGTTTGCTTCATCCCAGAAAATGAAAATAAAACAGTGCTGACTGCAAACTTATAACATTGGTGAGGTGCAAACTATGCAAGTGCCATTTTCTAACCTGTGAAATCAATTTTAGGTTAATGTGCTTTTATGAAAATCAAATTAAAAAAAAAAAAACAAAAGAAAAAATAAATTATACAAGTGATTTTATGTGTATTACAGAAAAATAAATATACTTAGTTTTAATTTGAAATCAAGTGGTAAAAAATTGTACAGTGAATACTGACATGCAAAATATATATTGTTTTGTTGCTGTCAGAAATTTATAAAATTCCGTTTTTAATAAACTGCATTTGATTTAGGACATTGTTTTGTTCACCGCTTTCAATAAATGAATACTATTAATAATATTATTTTAAAAATAAAGAATTAAAAGTTAAATTTAGATGATTAAAATTTTAAAATTTTGTCGCAGATCCATCAATACTTGAAATGCAAAGAAACTAAAATGTGAAAAAGTGAAACAAAAAGTGAATCATGGTGCTGGAACAACATAAAATTAACTTCAATGCTATCATTTTAGACTGCATATTTTAGATTGATAATCAAACATTTTTGTAAAATTTGAAAAAAATCAACTGCTAGGCCTGTAGTAAATTTTTATACTGTTAGAATAAGAAATTCACATAAATAACATGATTGCAGAATAAATTAACATAATTTCAAATCAATGTGTAAGTTAAATAATGATGTCTTTAATCTTTATGAATCTTTTTTTCTATACATTGTTCATTTTTAATGCAATGTCCATGTTTAAAAGACTATCACTTAAAATTTTAAAATTTGTACAGGCTATCTTTATTGACATTGCAGGCATGTAACATATTTTCAGATGGTGAAACTTATTCTAGGCTTTTTTCTTACATGACTTTTAAATATTGTTTTATAATAATGTATACTTACGTTTAAGAGAACATATTAAAGTTTTAACCACCAACTACAGCCTATCTCAATGCAAAACTATCTTGATTGTAAAACTAACATAAAACAACAGTCAAGCAAAAACAACAACTACACTTACATTTAATTATAATAGTAATTTATTCATTTTAACATTAAAATTAATAATTTGATTTTCAGAGCATATTTAATTTCAAAACTTTTATGAAAGTTTTTATTTCTGTTGTTTAATATTTAAAATTTCTTTTTGAAGTTAATATTTGGACAAGTAAAATAACAAGTGAAATAAAATAGAATTTTTTCAAACATAAGTATTGTTCTACACAAAAACATGCAGTGCTATAGCAAACAGCATAAGTAGATTATTTTGTTTTTGAAATATTAATAATTTTTAATATATTAAATATACAGTTATTGTAAATATTTGACTGATTTGGTTATTTTTGTTAATAAAGTATTTTCTTTTTTTTCTTTCAATAAACTAAATTTAAAATTTGAATTTGCTATGAAAAGGATAAAAATTATCTGGCTTAAACAAAAAAGACATGTAGTGCTGCTATTGTGCCATGCAATATAAGGGGGATGAAACAAAGCTTTAACTATATTACTGCCCTTCTTTTAAATCACTATATAAGTAGTTATCATATTGGTCACGATATTCTTTATAAAACAAAATTCTGATCAAAGTTATTTTTTTTGCCTCAAGTTCTTAATTAATACTAATGAAGAGCATAAAATACAAAGAAATATAATAAAACTGGAGTTTAAAAAATCAGAATTATTTTTCTCTCTGATATAAGCATAGGCGTTTTTTATGATATGGATTTTTGAGTTACAAATGTTGGTTATTCCTTTTTTTTCGCAAGCCGTTGTTCTTCATGTTGAACAGCAGTGTAAAGACAATAGGAATACTAAGTCTGGGTAAAAATAACCTCTTCAGCACATGCACACCTCTTGCAATATCTAATAACTGGAACGTAGGTTATAGTTCAAATAAATAAAGCTAATTCATATAAATATATTATTCCTCTGTAACTAAAAACCTAATTAAAAAAACTTAACTTGAGGCTCATATTGGGAACTTAGCCATCCTTCTAATAATAAAAAAATAGTCATTTCACTTGAATGTCTATATTTTGGAAGATAGCTTTTAATGAGCATATTCAAAGATATTCCATTTGCTAAGCATATAATAGAAAATATATTTTCTAACATGACTACTGGTGCAAACTGAACAGTTTTGTGTTGAATTCCCACAAAATAACACAATTAAATAAAGAAAAAAAACTGCTGATATTAATAGTTATGATTAGTTAAAGAAATAAATAAGCAATATTAGTATGTAATATAAAAATAACACACTAGTTATTGGATATATGAGTACAAGTGGATAAATATATACATCAATATATATATAGATAGATATAGATATGTAAGAGTATCTGGGTAGAGTACTTGAAGTAATATATGCACAATGAAATATAGTAAATTTGCACACTGAAGAATGCAAGAGTAATAATATTGAGAATGTTACAAAATTGTAATTTGAAAAAAAGAAAAGTATTTGTTTTTATACCGTACCCGCTTCATTTGGTTTCTCACGGATAACTGTTTTGATTAGAAAATAATTCAAGAATCAGTTGTCATTTTCAACTTGACTTACTGTTTTAGATACCCTATTTGGAGACCTGACCAGTTTTGCTACTCTCTGGATACATTTTGTTATTAAAAAAATCTACCTTGTGAATTTAATAAAAAAGCAAACAAATTTTAATGTTTATTTTGTTTTGAATGTATTTCCACTTGTATTGAGAGACAGAAATTCCAATTTCTACAAAAATCAGGAGGTTTGAAAAGAAAAATTAAGATTCATTTGTGTTAACTAATAGAATATCTAATTTCAATGAAAACCAAGAGTTTCTATTTAAAAATGAAGATCCATTTTTTTTAACTAATAGAATATCCAATTTCTATGAAAATCAACAGTTTCTATTAAAAAATGAAGATCAATTTGTGTTAGCTGACAGAATGTCTGATTTCTATGAAAATCAAGAGTTTAAATTAAAAATGAAAACCCATTTGTATTAATGGATGAAATATCTAATTTCTAAGCAAATCAAGAGTTTCTATTTTTAAAAAAAAGAAATGATGATATGGAGAACTTACACCCTGGGTCCCATGCTGCTGAATATGGGGGGAAGGCATGGGTGACCTGGAGCGCCGCCTAGATTTCCGTCTTTCTGGACCCAACCATGTTGGAGTGCTGCAAAGTGCGAGGAAGTCAAATGAGCTGAACTTAGTCTCAGTCTCTGGCTCGATTCCAGTTTGTGCAGGGTCTGTTGAGTCATCTGTAGACAAAACTAATGCTGGGGGACCTGAAAAGCAATTAAAAAATTCATCTTTTTGAAATTACAACTCAATTATTCAACAATTAACAATTAAAAAAGATATTTTAATGCTTTAAATTATCCAAAACATTAAAAAAAATGTAAAGCTAAATATAACAAACCAAATATAATAACAAAAATGATTTTAGAATGGAAACAAGTCCAAAACAAACAAAAATCAAATAAAACCTTTCAACATTTGTGTTTTTTCTCCACCTTTCTTAGAAGAAGTATGTGCAGATTTGGACCTTTTCTTAGGTTCCTTCTTTTCACCTTTTAAGGTATGATCAACATCAAATATTCCTGGAAATATATATATATTTATTTCTAAATATAAATATTTGGTGTAGAAGTTTTAACTAAAGAGAAAGCGACAATGGATAAAATAGAAAGAGTAAAATTTCTGGACAATTAGACAAGATGGAAGCCTTTGCTTATTGTGTAGACATGCACCTGTAATTTCATGTACCCACATCAATACTAGCTGGCAGTTTCAAAAGGGAGAATGGCTTCAGCTGATTACAGCCAATAATCAATAAGTCTTTGAATCTTAAATAAGACCATATATATCAGGCTATTTGCATACCAAAAATAGAAGACCCAATAGATCAATAGTGAACAGAAAGAAAATCCTAAAATAATTAATATCATTGTAAGTTTATAACTATGAGTGGTAATTTTTTCTATTATTTAAGAACAATTAAAACGTTTGGCTTTTTGCTATACTCGATAGTTTTGTTTAACAATTAAATACAAACAGTAAAAAACCAATCATGTAGCCATTTCTAATAGATTAATACAAATATTTACAATAAAAATTCCAGTAAAACAATAAAACATGTTTTATATTTGATTCAATTCAAGAAATATTAAAAGAGAAACCTTTGTTGGACATGAAAATATAATTTAGCAGCATAGAGTAGTTAAAAAAAATTACAATTAAAAACGGAAACAATACCTTGTTGCTGGCGCTTTCTGTCTAAAATCATATTGAACATGGCTGAATGTTCGTCTGATTTATTTTCAGCAACTTTCTGCTCCAGAATCTCTTTTCTCATCCCTAATGCTGTGGCAAGCTCCTCAAGTGTCTGAAAAAGTAAAATAGCAAGTAATAAAAGCTTTTTCTTAATTTAAATATATTGTTTTGATATTCAAAATTGTAGGTAAAAAAAAACCCACTGAAAGTCAAACAATTTTACTAGGTAAGATCAATTTTAAATGAAACTCAATAATAAATTATCTCAAAAAAATGTTATTATTATTGTTAAATATTGATTATAATTGATATATTTAAATATTCCTTAGTTAACATTTTTGTTTCATGGCAAAAATTATGTTTTTTCAAAATCTACAATTAATGAGATGTTAGGCTCATCTTAGTAAAAAAAAAAAGTTATTTTAAAGTATGAGACAAAGAGAGATGACTGGGGAAGTGAATAGAGTAGAATTCAATTAGATGCAAATAGGCACTGTTACACGAAATGCATTGACTGGTTGTAAAAATCAGTGTTTGGTGTGGACAGATTAAAAAAGTTTAAAGGACATGCCCAAGATGCAGTCAAGTTTCAACAGTTTTTTTTTTCATTCTAAGGGCAGCAGATGTGTAGGGACGAGCAACACTTCTCATTCTAAATTTAAAACAAAACAAATCATGACCAAGAACATTTGGTCACTGAATGACAAGACATGGGGTTCAATTTGCTTTTTGCAAGTATTGATATAACAGACACAGGAAAGTGGTTTATTAAATTTTTTGTTATAGGATGTTACATTTTATAGTGCCAAATTCTTCTAAAAATATTTCAATGGTTTAGCAAAACTGAAATTCATGTACTGCTTAAGCACACATTTTAAATAATGTCATTTTAACTATTTTTTTTCCAAGACTGGGATTCTAGTCATAAATATAAAACATTTAAGCAGAGAATATCCAGGATAAATATAAAAACCATAAGGCTATAAGCAAATACAGTTCCTAAGTTGAATATTATATACCAGCCAATCCAAACATCTAAGAAGTAAATATAAAGAAAACAGTTTTTAACAGTTTAAAATTGGCATTAAAGCTCCTAATATCAATAGTTAGCTCCAGGACATTGTTTATATACATGCTAAAAATATTTTTTTTTAAATAACTGAGGGTTCATCGTGGATGCACAAGCTTAAGAGAGAATTGAACATAGCTCACACACAACTTGTTGGTGAATTTCTATTTTTATTTAAATAAATCAAAACAAAAAACAATTTGTATGAACATAATATAAAAACAGAATTTTTAAAATAAATGTAAAAAAAAAAAAATACAAACAAACCAGAGTAGTACATTATTTCTATTCAGACAAGTGTTATACAAATTTCTTAAAGGGACAAGCACCTAAAAGGTTAATGATTTTTTTTTTAAAACAAAAGACAAGCATGAGGAAACAAGATGCCCAAAATCAAACAAACATTCAAAACAATCATTATGATGCAAACCAAGTGAGCAGCAAACTAGAATATTGAAAACGGCATACAGCTCAATAAAATTAAGCACCGCCTTCCTTATATCAAAAGCTGAAATAAACACCCAGAAAATGTTTTGCAATTTTCACGCAGACACTTTAACTTAGATTTTAGGCATTCACAAAAGGGAGAACTGCTGTGTAGCTGAATTCAAGTGTGAATAAATATTTTTGAAAAAAAAAATATTTTCATAACTGAAATGATGGACAGATTAAAAAAAAACGAGACTAAAATCCCACCATGTGACCGTGTGTGTGTGGCAACAACTATGTAGAACAGACATCCATATCCGCATCCAACTACCCGATCATTGTACTGTAAGCACATTTTTAGATGGATACACAAACAGATGTAGTACATGAAGTGTGCCTAAGACATGAGGACAACAGTGGAAATTAAACAGAAAGCTTGATTTACTGCAGATCCCATTGTCATTTTTTTTTCACTTTTCCGGTAATTAGACAACAGATTTTTGTTTTCATCTCATCATGTGATATAGAACATCTTATTTAATTAGTTTGAAAGGATGTACAGTAAAGCAACAACAAGACACAAACAATCTAATGATGCCATGAGAACAAGAGCAAGCTTTTCTGTTTTTCATGGCTGAACTATGAGTCAAGTACTTAACAAATAAGCTCTAATAATCCATTAAAAAAACTGGTCTTTTCTTTAATTTGAAGCAAAAACACTTCGACCATGTTTGTTATATTTTTCATCTAGACAGTGTTTAATTTGTGTACTAAAAAATGATGACCACTAATCAATGCACAGCCATGGGTCTAAGCAAAGCTTTACTAGGTCTCAGAAACATGATGTATGAAAATTTGTGAGAGTTACCTCATCTTCTTCAAGACTAGTCATGGAACCCTGCACCTTTGCAGGATAGGCCGTCATGGGGATGGGCGACAAACAAAACATTATGATGATGATGAGGATGATGATTAAATTAGTAAAAAGAAATGGACAATTAACCCTGATATATTTTCTTTACTATTTTTGTCTTTTAACTAATATATATTTACAACTAATATATATTTACAGAAAATATTAACATTAAGTAATAAATCAAGTTTAGAATTTCCTTAATTAATAATGTAGTATTAAATAAGTAATTTTACTGCTTATAGTGTATATTTTTTTTATCAAATAGCTTACAATCTCTGTAAATTGTTCTTAAAGATAGAAACTGGAACAAGGCCTAATAGGTTTATAATAAATATTATTAACAGTAAAGATAAATAGAATGAACTAGAATTGAAAAAGCAAATAGTCTTAAATACAGACAAAAGTTATGATTTCTGAAGCTGATCTTACATATATAATAGATTATATAATAATATTTATAAACCATCCAATCCCATCAACATCATGGCAGTAATTTACGTCAATCTTTAAAAATGAGATGATGTTCTAAAAATCATATTAAAATACTGGGCAAGACAATATTATATATGGTAACGAGTAACAAATTTCAAAACTGCTGCTGCTAAATTCTTTTCATTTTTGTATGCACCTCAGTAGACGCAGTATGCTTCTTCAAAAAATAAAAATTTAGTTTTTAAAAATAGTTTATAAATGAGATGACAAACCACTGTGTCGTCATAAAAGTATATTAGGAACTAAAAGTTTAAAAAAATATTCTCCTAGTTTAATATTTCAAATGAAAATTAATAATAAAAAAATTGATAGAAGTTTGGTATTTTGATATTATTTTTATAAAGCCTAATTGAAATTGCTAAATATGTTTGCATTAAAGGTATAAAAAGGTAGTAATGTTAATCAATGTAACATTTAAGCTGTATCAATAATCATTCAAGCATGAGTAAAATGATGGGAAAATTATGATATTTCTATAAAATACCTGTAGAAAAAATACATTAGCTCTGTTTTTATAACTTGAACATGGAAACATTAATTGTGAGTTTTTTAAATGCTTTAGACAAATGTGCTTGAAAAATAAATAAAACAATATAATTAAGAGTGCTGTTAAATTAAAAAAAAAGTTGTCTTTCTTTGAATGTCTGAAAAAACACAATATAATATAAAATTTAAAGTTTATTAACAAAAGTATGTTCCATTTTCATGTCAAATTGCAGCCTAAATCCAAATGGTCTTTTTTGAAAGAGCCGGATGAAATGGTACATAACATGTAATCAATGGCTAAACAAACTTTACCAACAGAACAAAAACTTGCACACACAAATAAACAAACAAACACACACACAGACTATATTGTTTATACAACACCGATAGCAAATAGATTAGAGCCAAGTGATGCAAACAGAATTTTTAGGGAGGAACTCTCAACAGATGCAAACTAATAAAATACCACACCCACAGAGTAACCTTTTGTTTTTAATAATACAGGAGTCTATGATGCACACAAAGTTTCATACATTTATCTTCAACCTAGAACAATTAAATGCACACTTGACATCCAATCATTAATTAGCTTTTAAAATAAATTTTAATTACTACATAGAGTTGTAATATTTTTTCATTATCACCCAGAAAATAATACATAATCAACATTATTCAAACTTTTTAACAAAATATTTAAAAATTAATGAAGTGTTAGATTTTATTTTGTTTTCAAATCTGTTGAGAGTTCAGTTATTCTGGCTGTACTAAACTTTGCTTTTATCTTAAAAATATCACTAAATATACGAATCAAATAAACAAAATTTAAAAACTTGTATGGACTTAACAAACTATTTAAAAAGTAAAAAGCTAAAAAACAAAAGAAAAAATTAATTTAACATATTAATGTTTCATATTTTTATTTCCTGTTTCTGTAACTCAGTTTCAGTGTGACTCTGACCACGGCAGCCTCGATACCAGTCTACTCACTTTCCGGAAACTCATAAACTCATGACCAGCTTACACATACAACGAATATTTTAAAATAAATAAGAACAACAGTTAAAACTACATGTAGCTAAGATTTTTCTGCAAAGCCAAAATTTAAAAAAATCTCTAGAAAAACTATACTCTGTACCTGGACTCGCATGTTTTTATCTCGAGGAAAACTTTGGAATGGGAAAAATGGCTTCTTTGCATTTTCAGTGATCCACACATGAATCTCCATGTCCAGTAGAGGCAAACGAAGGCTTGGTGAAGGCTCAATAACTTTGTGAAGCAGATCTTGACAATCTATGGAAGAATACTTTTTATTCTCATTTTGTGTTTGTTTTAAGTGTAAGATTCGGCAAGGCTTGGCCCGAAAAATCTGGCTAAGAAAATATTTGTTAAGACAGTTTTCCCCAGGTTAGCTCCACCCCCCCCCCATGCTCACACATATAATAATAATCAAAACTGTATGGTAGGCCAATTTATATGGTCTTCTAGACTGTATTTTCTTTTTTTTAAATTATTTAATTGACAAATAAAACTTTGAAATTTTTTTTAGTGAGGCTCCTACTATCAAAATTGCATTGATTAATAATTGTGAGCTTAGGGATTTTGTACATTATTAGATGCTATTTCAAAATCTTATACTGAGTAAAAGGAAATAAAATGTGTAGACCAGATGTGTCAAATTATTCCCCATGCCATTCCAATTTAACAAAAATATAAATAAAGAAAATCAAAGAAGTAATTATATAATATTACTCAATACCACCACCTCCAATATCTCTATAAGATAATATAACAAAATGATAAAGCACCCCAATGTTAAAAAACATGGATCAACCCTTTTAGTTGAATTTTATTTTTCACTAAACAAAACTTGAGCTGACAACCGACCTGCAGAAAGGTGTGCCATTTCTTGGTTGTGAGACTCAACCAGACCTTTCTCCATCTGCTGGACCAACTTCTGTCTTCTGTACTGGTCTGTGTAAGGCGTGGTGAATGGAAGCTTGCCAATCAACATAGCATACATCACAATTCCCCTGTGATCATACAACAAGTGCTCTTGAGATTAATTGTACATTTTTTCCTTAATGTCATATATATATATATATATATATATATATATATATATATATATATATATATATATATATATATATCACTCACACTTTTAAACAAAATTTTAACAAATAATTGGCAGACACTGTTGTAAAATCCGATTATACAATGAAAAAAAGCCTAAGTTGTCTAACTGAGGTCATAAAATAAACAGTACAGTATGTCATCCCATCATGATCATCACAGGAGCCAGCCAAACCCCACTCTTCAAATGACGTCACACGCTAGCTGGGTCAACATGTCTATTAATCTATTTTTATTTCAATTTACTAACATTGAAAATAAAATAAAAAAGCCTTCTTAAATTGTCAAAGTGTGGCCTCTTAGTTAAAGTCTAAACTTCCCTATGACTATATAAGTGTGACGTCATTTATAATCCATGGAAAAACAAGCCAAAACTATAAGACTAAAAATCATTTTTTTGGCCTATTTCCGAAAATGAACAGATATAAAAACTCAACTGTAAACTTTCTTTTTTCCCCCTCAACCTCTTAAAATATCAAAGTGCCATTTAAAAAAAAAAAAAAAAACCTTATTAATCAGTAGGTGAAAAATTAAACAAATTCAAACTCACAAACTCCATATATCTATTTCAAGGCCATATCTTTCTCCCGGAGTGAAGAGTTCAGGAGCAGCGTACTCAGGCGACCCACAATGCGTTTTCATCAACTCATCCTTAGCAAATGTATTACTAAGGCCGAAATCTGCGGGGAAAAAAGATACATTTCCATAATATTGTGGATTCCACTTCCGTTTTGAATATATTCTGTTGTTTTTAGCTTAAGAATTGATTATTTGCTTAGTATGACTCAGCCGAACAGTGGATAATTCGTTCGTTTGTCTAGGGATTGTGTTAATTTCTTCCTGGCCAATGACAGAAGCCATCGACTTGAGCAAGCTAACAATTTTAACATGTAAGTCGATACGAGCATACAGAAGACATTGGCCAGATTTTTTAAAAGTAAAAATAAAAGTTGAAATTAGTGGGTTGTTCCGTTTAGTAAAACTGTGTGCGGCAGATCCGAGTTTTTAAATAAGAGTGGTCTAAGGTTAAAATAGTTTAGATGTAGGCCTACGAGTATGTCCACATTGTTTTTAGTTTTTTTTTCTGCTTAACCTTACCACCGTAAATTTAATTTTGATTGTGGGGAAAAGACTAGGGGCAATGTTTAGATAAAGAAACAAAATTACATTAAAATGAAATCGTATTTAAAAAAAATTCTTCTTTCTGTTTTAAAAAAAGGTCAATTGTTCCTTTTCCCCCACCAACCGCATTCTTGTTCAGACAATCTTTATTCACCTCTGTAAAAGTAATCTTTATTCAGTAGGCTACTTGTTAAGTCTGAGACTAAGAAAAGGTTATTTTTAGTACTGGCTGAGCCGGAGGGGGGGGGTGCACTTGAACATTTTGGGTAACGGGATGGGACGGAGAGGGAGGGGTGCGGGGGGGGGGGATGACGACACTGGTAAAAGTATATATTTTCTGTATAAATTATATTTCTTTGGGGGAGGGGGGGCGGTAGACATGCTTTGGGAGGGGGGTGGGACAACTGCCTGAATTAAACACTGACGGCTAGTGTTGGGTATCGTAGTCCGTGTTATCTGTTTCAGGTTTAACAAGTCACATTTTTAAGACTAACTACTATGTCTACTGACTTTAAAAAAACAACCGCATCTAATATGGGCTACAAAAATCCATAAAAGCTAGGTCATGTTTCTAAAGCGTGTCTACCACGTCTTAAAAATACTCGACCCGTAATGATCAGGTTGCTAGACTAACAATTTTTTAATATTAAATTTAAGAAAAGATATATCACAGATATGAAACAGGACTAAAAAAGAACATTTAGAACTAAGAACCCCACACTGTCGAAAATAAGGTTTTACTTGTTTATTTTCACTTTCCTATGTATAAGAAATATGGTTTTCTACGAAAGCTCAATTTATGCTCTATATTAAAATCTCGTTATTTATATGTTGGTTAAGGAGAAATATTTTTTGGTAGAACAAGACTACTTCTTGCATTCATGATATATGAGAGACCGCAAATGGTTACGAGAGTGCATTATGATATATGAGAGTGCACACATGGTGTATCAGAGTGCTCTCAAGTTGTATGAGCACACACATAGGATTTTTGAGAGTGCTTTTATGATGCGTGAGAGTGTACTCATGATGTATGGGAGTGCAGTCAGGATGGGCGAGAGTGTCGTCTGAATGGATGGTGTTAATTTTGTAACACAATCACTTCATCGATTAATCTGAGATATTGTTTTTTTAGCTAGCCATGTGTACACATTTTTTTATCTACAGAAACGAAAATATTTTAGCAGATTTTATAGACTTTTCATTTACATGCACATCAGTGAATAAATTAAATCCTTCCCTTTATTATACGGATATGCTGTGAAAACAACAACAACAACAACAACATTAACAGCAACAACAGCAGACAACCTCTAGTAAAATGAAATAGTGGTTAGCAAAACTAATGTTGCTTGCAGATTTTCATGCCTTACTCGAGTCACGACGGAAGTGACGTCACTTACAAGATTGCCTCCGTCTGTTCAAAGCTGTATGCAGAAAGTTATATAAATAGAACACGCTCCCCAGCAATTTTTTTTAGCTTCTCCTCCGAGGTCAAGTATGAAATGAAGGTTAATGTCCAACCACGTAGGTCTGATGGGATGCGTTGATAATACATTCTGCTGAGGACGATATTGGGGTAGGGGTGGTACAGGAGGAAGAATGGCGGATATTTTTAACGTAAAAAAAGGGTAGCGAAGTTTGAGGTTCGATTTGAGCAGAGAATAATAGTTGGGTGATCTTAAACAAGCAGATGTCAGCGATGCAGTTATTTCCCTAAGATTAATGGATCAATATTATGGACATTTAGTCAGCTAATTATTTTTTTCTGCATTAAATATGTAAACAGATTGTTTTCTGTTCAATTTAGGATTTTTAAAAAAATATATTATCTCCCCTGGATTAAACAAATCAATTTTTTTTCTCTAATTACTTCCCTTTGATTAGGATTACAGTCCTTTTCGTACTCATAAGGCCTGGCTAGTGAAACAGCTGATTTGGCATATAAATTGGGAGGGGGCGGGATATGATGGGAGGCGATGGCATTTTATACATGTGACACGGAATCAAATAAATAAAACGATAATGTGTAGTTCTATCTATGATTAGTGTGTAGTCCGGTGCCTATTCAACACGTAGCCTACTTGTGTAGGTGTCTATAGTGTTTATTGTGCATACGTGTGAGTGGTTCTATGAGTGTAGGATTATGCGGGTGTATGATGTATGCATGCGCTGATGTGAACATATTTTTGTAATATGTGTATGCGTACATGTATGTGTATGTGTAAGTGTACAAGTGCGTGTGTATGTGTGTACGTATGCGTATGTTGAGTATTCACTTACACCAGGCCTCATGTTACAAACACCATCAAAACACCCCGGAATAACGATGCTCCTATTGACTTCAAAAGCCGGCTAAGAATAAACCGCACAAATTAGCCAGGAGGCAACAGGAACCAGATAGAGACATCAGAACAAGCCCGCCAAATACCACGTGCAGCCGGTATAAATCTGGGCGACACGACCCGGAGGAGAGGAAGTACACCACCGGAAACGCCTGATTCCAGACCGTTGACCGGCAATTTTCGCCGGTTGCCGGTCACCGTGGAGGCCGTTAAGTATAGGCATGGGCTGTAATCTTGTGTTGCTTTTACTTCAGTCGATAGGGTCAAATGGTTGGTGTGGTTTGTGGGGGATATCAGTGGTGTGGTGTGTGGTTTGGGGGGACATGTCAGTGGTGTGGTGTGTGGTTTTGGGGGACATGTCAGTGGTGTGGTGTGTGGTTTTGTGGGACATGTCAGTAGTGTGGTGTGTGGTTGTGTGGGACATGTCAGTGGTGTGGTGTGTGGTTTTGTGGGACATGTCAGTGGTGTGGTGTGTGGTTGTGTGGGACATGTCAGTGGTGTGGTTGTGTGGGACATGTCAGTGGTGTGGTGTGTGGTTTTGGGGGGGGGGAAACTAGAGTCTTGATTGCTGGTGATGGTTGGTGTGGTGTGTGGTTTTGTGGGAGATATCAGTGGTGTGGTGTGTGGTTTTGTGGGACATGTCAGTGGTGTGGTGTGTGGTTTGGGGGGGGGGAAACTAGAGTCTTGATGGCTGGTGATGGTTGGTGTGGTGTGTGGTTTTGTGGGAGATATCAGTGGTGTGGTGTGTGGTTTTGTGGGACATGTCAGTGGTGTGGTGTGTGGTTTGGGGGGGGGGGGAAACTAGAGTCTTGATGGCTGGTGATGGTTGGTTTGATGTGTGGTTTTGTGGGACACATCAGTGGTGTGGTGTGTGGTTTTGTGGGAGATATCAGTGGTGTGGTGTGTGGTTTTTTGGGGGGGGGGGAACTAGAGTCGTGATTGCTGGTGATGGTTGGTTTGATGTGTGGTTTGTGGGAGATAACGTTATTGTGTGTGGTTCGTAGGATATACCAGCGTCTCCGTTGCTGATGAGGGTTGGTGTGGTGTGTGGGGGATATCAGCGGTGTGGTGTGTGGTTTGTGGGAGCTATCAGCAGTGTGGTGAGTGGTTTGTGGGAGACACTGGAGTCGTCATTGCTGGTGATGGTTGGTTTGATGTGTGTTTTGTGGGAGATAGCGTTATTGTGTGTAGTTCGTAGGATATAGCAGTGTCTCGATAGCTGATGAGGTATGGTGTGGTGTTTTGACTGTAAACGATAACATCATCTTGATTGCTCGTGGAAGAAACACAGGGTGTTTAAACCTGGCCTAAAGTTGAAACAGCTGATAAGGTCCGATAGTAGGTTTGTTCTATAGGTTTTAGTCGGTCATTTTGTTACCCATCAATGTTGTTACCCATTAATGTTGTTACCCATCAATGTTGTTAATAATTAAAGTTCTTACCCATTAATGATGTTACCCATCAATGTTGTTAGCCATCAATGTTGTTACCCATTAATGTTGTTACCCATTAATGATATTACCCATTAATGATGTTACCCATCAATGTTGGTACCCATTAATGATGTTACCCATTAATGTTGTTACCCATTAAAGTTGTTACCCATTAATGATGTTACTCATCAATGTTGTTACCCATTAATGTGGTAACTCATCAATGTTGTTTCTCATTAATATGGTAACTCATCAATGTTGTTTCTCATTAATGATTGGTTCGACATTCATGTTATTTTTTCTACTCACAAAATCCTACGGATATAATCTACCTACAAATATCTACTGACAAAAAGGACTTCGTTCACATATTTTATTAAGAGGGTTTGTTGGGGGGGGGGGGGGGGGGGTGGTGGTTGTAAAGCACTTGAAACTTTCAGGGGAACAGACACCCCGACGTGTGACAAATGATTGAAAGAAACATTACAGACAAATACCACTACAGACAACTACCACCCACCACAAACACCACCACCACCAAATACGACTATAAATACCACCGCCACAAACAAATACCATTACAAATATACCACTACAGACATTTTCCAATACAGGCAAAATACCATCACATACTCCTACCATCATTGACAAATACCACTGCACTTAAATACCACCACCACAGACATATTCCCACATAGTCAAATACCATCGCATACTCGCACCAACATAGACAAATACCACCACAGACAAATGCTTACCCCCCCCCCCCCCCCACACACTCAGACAAATAAACCCCACAGAACCCACCACATCCGGATAAATCGCCACATTAGCTCAATGATATAATCCAAAGTAGCGCACTTGATTCCGCGCTCTCTGTGATTAAGCTGGATACGCCGTCGCCATTAATTATTGACTGACATTCATTTATCCCCCGCGTATTCTGAGTTGTCCCGCTTGCTCTCATCAAGGGTAGTTGTCCGCGTTACGGTGAATAGACAATTTTTACCCTCAGTTTTTTTTTTGTCCCTGTGTGTGTATGGGCGTTTGTGAACTTTTTATCCAGGAAAACCAACGTCGATTTTATATACCGTTTTGTAAAGTGGAGAAGATCCAAGTGTATCATAGAGGGGTACTGGCCAGCAGAGAGTCTAGTGTCTTTTAGTATTCAATTTTTACCTCCCCTGTACAATATCACCTTTCCAGCCAAAAAAAAAACAAAACCGTTCATTTACAGATAGATGCGAATCGGGTTGGTGGTAAGGTGTGGTAAAGGGGTAAGGATAGAGTTTGGTATAGGAATAGGGTTTGGGTTAAGGATAGAACTAGTTACGGTTAGGGGTCATCCATTATGACGTCCACACGGGGGGGGGGGGGGGGGGGGTGGCCGAAAAAATGACTATGACTTTTGCGGACGCGTATGGACTTTTCCAAAATCCCAAACAATTGTGGACGTCGTAAATGGATGACCCTTTAGGTTTAGGATTAGCAATATGGAAAGCGATAGGGCTATGATTCGATTTGGGGTGGGGGGGGGGGGTAAGGGGGGTATTATTGTGATTATAATTAGGGTTAGGGCTTGGTTAAAGTTAGTTTTGGGGATATAGATAGGTTATGATAGTCTCCACAATCCGCGTAGGAAATGGAGAAAAAATCCTTTAAAGTCACTGTGACTTACGAGAGAAAAGATGCTGTTTTGTTTACGATTATGTAAAGCCACATAAATACTCATGTTTGTTTCCCAGCACCATTCTGATACTTACATTCCTACCCCACCGACAAAGACATCCATCCTTCAGCACCACCCTCCAGATTCTTTCCCCCACTCTCAAGCACACGCCCCCTCCCCCCTCCCCCCGCCCCCCCGCTACTTACCGACCAACTTGATATTCTTCTTTGGTGTATCCAGCATTATATTCTCCATCTTCAGATCTCTGTCAAGACAAAAAATAAATTTTTAGATAAAAAATAACCAAACGAACAAACATTGCAAAAACATCAATACATGTCTAAGTAAATAAGTATAATTTTAGCTACTCCTATGGTCGGATGTAGCAGAAAGTTTCGAAATTAGACACACCCTCTTTGAACTCGTGTATAGTATTCTGGTAAAAGAAATTCGAACAAAAAATATTTTCCAGTGGATTTGTAATTCTTTACTATTCCCATTCCTTACAAACCACCCCCCCGTCACTACTTACATCTAAACCGCTTACCTCCATAAATACTTAGTTCGATGACTATACTTACACATAGCCATGTGACTACATCGTCCTTGTAACCAGTGCAACCACTTACATTCATGACCACTTTCCTTGATGACCCTTGCATCCAAAACACCATCCATGTAACTACTTTCATCCATAACCACTTTCATCCATAACCACTTCCATCCATAACCACTTCCATCCATAACCACTTCCATCCATAACCACTTCCATCCATAATTGCGTTCATGTAACCACTTAAAACCTTCACCACTTTCCTGTAACCACCCCCATCCTTAACCACTTCCATACATAACCACTTCCGTGTAACAACCTCCACCCATAACCACTTTCCTCTAACCACTTACATTAACACACATCAGACTAACCGCTGTGTTTGATATTGATTTGGTAGGCTAAACATTGTGACTCTTCAAAATAAAATACAGCGGCAGTATGAAAGAAATTAACAACAAAAATAGTAATTAGCACGTTTAACAACTCGATCAGTTCAAACGACACAGACGGGGCGAGCCATCATAGTTAACCTTTCAACATCAGCTCTTCTTTCAGTCAGTTATAAACATCACAGAACACGTCTGAGTGTTAAAACCAATATGTCGTAGTTATTTAAACTTTTATAGATAGTTTGAAAAACAATCGATACAATATTGAAAATGAACTTTTGAATAATTTTAACATAATGGTATAACCTGCTCATTCAAAGTGTCACAACTACAGCGCATCAAATAAACATTACGTTCTTTTTAGAAATCATCACGGCTGGTTTGTTTTCGGTCCGGCAATTAGACTTGTAAATATTCGAGGTACTTGTACAGCTAGCGTAGCGAGGTGATATGTTAATTGCTATTACGTTCCATGGAAGTGGCCAGATAAATCTGGTGTTAAATGTCGGTGGGGAAAATGTGTGTGTTCACGGCATACCCATAAAGCTCTTGGTTTATTTGGCTTGGGCTGTATTGCCAGGTTGGGTGTTGAGTGCTAAGTTAACAAAAGAGATTCGGCAACACATTACGATTTATCAGTCGTGCACATTATGTAAAAAAGGTGTTAATTTTTAATTGTTCTACTATCTGATCAAAAAGGTTAAAAAATGTGATTTGGAGTGTGGAGGAGACATGTTGGTTGAGAGATGTAGCAAGCGATTGGTCACACTTCAGTTCCACGAGTCCACTTAGTTCTAGTACTTGCTAACCCGGGAGGTACGAGTTCGGATCCCGCGGGCTCGAGACCGAACTGCCCTTCACGTCCAAACCAGGCGGAGCATCACGCTGTTCTATTCTCCCTGACTAGAACGTGGAGTTTTAGTCGGTAATGATAACCAACACTGAGTATAGAATTGACAGCAAGCAGTGGGTGGTGGTGGGCGGACACGATTGAGAGAATATATAATATTTTCTATTTAAATTCCATTTCGTTCGGTGGGGGCGGTAGACTCTCTTGCGGGGGGAGGGGGCAAAGAGATGCCTGGAAGAAACACTGACAGCAAGGTATTCACGTTTTTTTTAATATACTGCTTAATTCTATCACTTAGCAGAATATGATGGTTAAAGGTAAAGTATGTTTACCTAAAATAATGTATCTAGGTAAAGCATGTTCGCTAATTGGAACAGTCCTAGGTATAGCATGTAAAATTAGCAGAATAGGCCTAGGTATAGCAGTGTTTACTTATCGGAACAGGCCTAGGTATTGCAGTGTTTACTTATCGGAACAGGCCTAGGTATAACAGTGTTTACTTATCGGAACAGGCCTAGGTAGAGCAGTGTTTACTTATCGGAACAGGCCTAGGTATAGCAGTGTTTACTTATCGGAACAGGCCTAGGTATAGCTAGATCGATAAAAGGTTTACACGATCGATCTGTGGGCAGGCAGACCGGTGCCACTGAAGTTCGTGTCCCCACTCTCTATCCCCGGGGGGTTCCCTGCTCACAGCCATGAATTATGAATTCAGTAAATGTTAGATGCAGGTCACCGTACTCGCTGGTGTAACTGTAAGTCAAAAGGGGGGGAGGGCGATACTTTAAAAAACAATAATAAGCTAAAAAAAACAGTACATGGCGCTTATATTATATATTATATATATATATATATATATATATATATATATATATATATATATATATATATATATATATATATATATATATATATATATATATATATATATATATATATATATATATATATAAAGTATAAGTATGTCTATCTGTCTGTGGAGCACATGGCTACCCAATGAGCATGATGGCGCCTACATTTGTTTTAATGAGCGCCCTACACCAAGGACGCGGTAGACCACTACATTCGATGACTTAACCGAACTAGGAGTCGCTCCTCGCGCCCCAGCGGTAGTGTAACCGGTAGCTCCCAAGACCGCCTCACGACACCCCTGACACCCGGGCTGTTACCGAGGGTTGTTCTACCTTATCATAACAGGGTGTTGTTAACGTACACTCATTAAAATGTGTGTAATTAGAAGCAAAGGATTAGTTACCCGAGGTCAGTCTGACATGCAGTTTAGTCGATCTAATGCTGTTAAAAGTTTTAGTTAAGTTATGAAGTTAGGTGGCTAATTAGGTAAATAAAGTAATCACGATGTTGATTTAAACTGTCGTGTTGTTCAATAATGGATTATGAATTAAGTAAAGCTATAGAGTGTGGGTACCACGTTCAATGAACGACATTTAACCAAGGAAGGTTCTAGAAGCAGTTTTTCATAACGGTACGTGTAGTCTATTTCTGAATAGTTCAAAGTATTCCAGTGCGTATAGTGAGGAGGGATGTATTTGGAAGTCGTGACTATGTCAAAGGGAACAATGTACGGAAACCCAACTTTTTGTATTATAAAATTAGTACCACGGTGCATTATTTTATTAAAAGTTGTGTATATTCATAGTGAGACCAATTATATTACTTAGGAAAACGAAGTCTTCCTGAGTTAAAACTGATGCCTAAGATCTTGAAAAACAGACCACCATTTCCTAAGTTAAAACTTAAGGCAAGATCTAGCACTTAAAAAACCCAACCAGAACTAGACGTCCTTCCCCTACTTCTCTTTCATGGGCATGATACATTACCTTCAATCCAGTGATGAACTAACTACCCAGTACTGCTGAACCTACTACTCTCAATAGGATATTGTCATGAATCGTCTAACATAAGGCATAGGATAATGTAAAAGTAAAGTTCACTTTTCGAACTTGACGGTTCATGGGGCGGGTGAAGTGACCTCGGCATATTAAGAGATATTGTGGTCAGCACTATGTCCAGTCGCCTTCACTTTCCTTAACTTCAGTTAGGTACCCATCAAAGCTTGGACGGTCTACTAACTAGAACCTGATTCGAACTCCAGACTTTCGGATCAGCAGTCTAGCGCTCTACTGCTTGGCCACGCCATCCCCCTATAGGGTAATGCACTGACATAAATCATCGTCAATTTACTGTCAGGAGAAGCTTGAGAAAAACACGCAATAAATACATAGCTAAAATATGATAAAATATGATACTTTCATCTTTCGGATAATGTACCCCCCTCCCCAACTCAAAAACAACGCCATACTTTCATCTCCGTGCACATTGAACAGCCTCTCAACAACTGATATGAATGCCATCGCAAATCATAAAATAGTTCATAAACCTGATTAGGTGGAAAAAAAAATGAAAAAAAAACCCTCTTGTGAGTACGCATGCGCAAAGAGTGAATTTATTATCTTTCACCGAGACTACTGTCGTGTCGTCATTACGACGCCTTAGTGCAAGGGATTTGAAAAAAAAATATAAAAAATAAAAAGGCTTAAAGGATCCACGGTGTAGGATAATGAGGCGCAGCGTTTTTTGTTTGGTGAAATCTATGCCAGTTAGGAGGGTGATTAGTAGGGTATCGTTTGACGGTAATCGATACCGCTCTTTACACTCTAATCATCGTGTGTGCGATTGTACTTGGGTGGAGACAGCGTGAGGGTTTGTCTGTAAAGTATGTCTCACACCTAAGGGGTGAGGGGTGGGGGTGGGTGGGGGGGGGGGTCAGACTTTGTTTGATGAAGTGTTACAGAAAGGGGGATAGGGTTAAAAAAAAGAGAGTATATTAATTTAGTTTTGAAATCTACTCGTTTTTTTTTCGACACCCGGAACAGGAGAAGAGGAGTAGAGTTTAAAAATGAGTAAAAAAATAAACAAAAACAAAACAAAAACAAAAAACAAAAACAAAAACAACAACAACAAACAAAAAACAAAAAAAAAACAACAAACAAACAAAAAGCAAACAACAAACAAACATGTCGTTATATTTATAGACCTGTTTCCGGTACGATAAAAAACATCGAATTCTGTTATAGATATTAATAGATGGCAGTATCACAAGACCAACTGGAACCAGCCTTGCACTAATTGAAGTTCGTCCGTCACATTCATCTATGTCGAAGAAGATCTGTGGCCGAAACATCTGTTGTCATTATAACTTATCTTACTTTGGATGCTGAACAGATAGTAGCTAAAAAAACATGCATGTTATTTATGCCTTACAATCATCTCAATTTTTATTCATTCGGAAAGATAATAATCTAGTTAAAAACAATCACGCGAATTCCATTATTTGATTGATTCTACCTATAAAAATTACCGATCAACGCAAAGACAATCTCAGAACCTCACTAAGTCTCTGACAATCTTTAAACTCTACATCGATTTTTACTACTTTTACATTTTT